ACCTAGTCAGACGGGCGGAGTATTATTATTATTATTATTATTATTATTATTATTTACTACTACTACTAATATTAATGTTATTATTACATAGGAAAGTGGCAGAGCCATTAGGAGCTTATCAGCAATTCAACAATGAAAGTATTAGTGCTCCTTTAGTTTTAAAAATATCCTAGGGTAGGGATTGAAGGGAAGTGTGTATTATTTTCATGTTTGCTTTATTGTATAGTTTGCATTACTAAAAACGCAAATAAATACATTTTAAAAACTGTAGCTTTTAAAAATGACATCTGTTTGGACTAATCACTTGAAACTTTCCATACATGATCTGCCTGATGAGCTCCTCTATAAATGTGCCAGATTTCAAACCAATCCAGTTAAGATTGCCACAGCTTTAGCAAGTTAGCTGCGCTAAAAATTGATTATCATTCTTATACATATATTTCTTTCCAGTTCTGTTGAGTATGTTTCAGGGAACATTATCACTTCATGTACGCTGGAAGTGAGGCATAGCAGGTGGTGGCATGAAGTCATTCTCAACTGAAAATAGGGCAATTAGTCAGCCCCTAAGCATAAACAAAGGTGTCCCACAATGTCATCATCCGAAGGATAATGTATTGGGTGTTGCATCAACATGGGCAAGAATTCCAGGTCATGTCTTAAGTAATCACACACATTTTATGCAATTTGGGCAGAACTAAACCCAGGTTAGTGTTCTGTAGCTCCACTTCCATTAAAAATAAATAAATCTGACTTGCTCTTCCCTCTTACATTCCTTTCCTTACCTGTGGCAACCCCAGAGTCAGCCCAAGACCTTTGGATGTCCTTCTACCATAGAAGAAGTCAACTGACCAGAGAACTGAATCTTACTTCAATACTCATTCTGGTCAGTGACCAAAATAAATCAATTCATTTGTTCATGCTTCAATACCAGTGACAGCACAGCATCCTTGACCACACCTGAAAGAAGCAAGCTAGCTTAGGGGCTGAAGCACTCATAACTCTGTTGCCATCAACATTGCACCACCAGCACCTGTCCCTCAGTTTCTGCCACCCAAGGCAGCCACCAACTTCTACCTAATGGTAGGGCTGGCACCAAACAACCCAAAAACCTTCTCCCTGTGTCATCTTTCTCGACTCCTAGCTAATACTAGGGTTGTATCGAGGAAGGAACCTAGACCTCATTTATTCAGAGGTGGCTTTTTTTGTGTGAGAGATGTCACTGTGCTTAGTTGGGAGTACAGGCTGTTTATGGAGTTGAATACTTATACTGCAGTAGGAGGGGACGCGGGTGGCGCTGTGGGTAAAAGCCTCAGCGCCTAGGGCTTGCCGATCGAAAGGTCGCGGTTTGAATCCCCGCGGCGGGGTGCGCTCCCATTGCTCGGTCCCAGCGCCTGCCAACCTAGCAGTTCGAAAGCACCCCTGGGTGCAAGTAGATAAATAGGGACCGCTTACTAGCGGGAAGGTAAACGGCGTTCCGTGTGCTGCGCTGGCTCGCCAGATGCAGCTTGTCACGCTGGCCACATGACCCGGAAGTGTCTGCGGACAGCGCTGGCCCCCGGCCTATAGAGTGAGATGGGCGCACAACCCTAGAGTCTGTCAAGACTGGCCCGTATGGGCAGGGGTACCTTTACCTTTACCTTTACTGCAGTAGGAGGTTGCTGATAAAATGCAGTTTGTCCCATTTGCCTTCATTGCTATTGAGCTATTGTGTGAAATACAACTATTATGAGCATGTATTAGAAATCAATGTTAATACTGATATAATCGGACAACACTGCAGGCGTCTTATATTTTGTTTCCACTGCAATCGTGTATGTAAAGCCACTATTTTACACACGGATGTAAAATATGTACGTGATTTGGCTACAGTTGCTCTTTTTCTGCTATTTCTTAGGTAGCTGTTGTGTTTTAATTTTTCTGAACTGAGCAAGCTTATGTGCATATTTAGTATAGTTTTCTCCCAACCTGCTGTCCTTCAGGGATTTTGGACCAGACTGACTGGGGAGGGCACCAGGTTGGGGGAAGCTGATTTCATACATGCGCTGTGGTCTAAACCACTGAGCCTTGGGCTTGCCAATTGGAAGGTTGGTGGTTCGAATCCCCGCAACGGGGTGAGCTCCTGTTGCTCGGTCCCTGCTCCTGCCAACCTAGTAGTTCAAAAGCATGTCAAAGTGCAAGCAGATAAATAGGCACCACTCCAGCGGGAAGGTAAACAGTGTTTCTGTGCACTGCTCTGGTTTCCCCAGAAGTGGCTCAGTCATGCTGGCCACATGACCCAGAAAAACAGTCTGCGGATAAACGTTGGCTCCCTTGGCCAGTAAAGCGAGATGAGCGCCGCAACCCCAGAGTTGTTCTCAACTGGACTTAACTGTCAGGGGTCCTTTACCTTTTATTGTACATGTAAGGTGATAGTCCTTACTATGTGAAATGTGCTCATTACATGCATGCCATGGCAGGTTTTCCGGATCTGGATGGAAAACATTCAGTAGAAATCACAGGAAGATCATCCAGTCCTAACCTGCTATTTGAAAGGCAAGCCCATCTATCTAGAATATCTTCCTCGCCTGTCAACCCTATTTACAGTTAGGACGACAAAGGGACAGAGAGAAAGCAGCTGTACTACACAGCGGAATAGCTCTTGTACAGCCACTGGCATGCATTGTGTAGGCAAGAAATGAACACGAATGGCAAATTGTTCAGTGCCGCCTCTTGGTTTATCTGCTCCCAAGGCAGCAAGAGAGAGATGCTTGTTGAGAATGAGCACAAAAGGGATATGTGAGAACAAGGAGATAGTGCAAAGAACACTGGCCAGGGAGATAAGAGATTGCCCTTTCCCCAGCCCATGTAATGAAAAACCTGTTGCAACTACTGCTGCACTGGTAAACTGGTGTTGAGCAAAAAGCCTTCAGAAAACCACTGAATCGCTAATGTAAGAGTGTGTGGTACCTCTGAAATAGAACACACTGATCTTCAACTATTTCAAAACTATGTGAGTTTTCCCCTCTAAGGTTTTGCCTCCATAATTATGTGCTGTCATAAAGTGGGTCAGAATAGCACGGTGGCTAAGAAACAGAATTGTGATTCAGTTCAAACCTCACCTCTTGCCAAAAACTCATGAGCCTCTCAGCCTCAGCTTTCTCTTACCCACAGTATGTGGGTAATAATCTTTTTTGTCCTACCTTTCAGAATTGTTGTAGGAATAAAGCAACACAAGGGCTGTAAGAATGCTATGTCTTATCACAAAATGTGCTATACTGGCAAGTCCGTTCTGTCATAACTTTAAAACCAGTATGCACTTGAAGGTAGTGCAATTCTCTGTGCACTCAGGCACTTCCTTGTTTCGGTAGTTTTGCTGTTGGAACAAATTCTTAGCTTCGATGATTGGCAAAAGAATGAAATACCTCTCGATAACCAAACTTCTGGATGAATGCATCCAGAATTCTTTTCTGAGCTATAAGAGAACGGCATAATACCCCAATCTGAAAGGGAATAGAATGGAAAAGTACGTAATTGCGGTCAACATGTCACACAAAAAGAAGACAGAATTCTGGGCTGACCCATGTGCTGTTCAGCAGAGGTCCAGGCAAGCTGAACACAAGCCATTTCTCCTCTTTTCTGTCTATGACTTCTTTAGCATTGTCTACAGCAGTTCTGGGCAAAGTGATTGCCTCTTAAAGGTGCATCCATGTGGCATTTAGAACAGCACATGAGTGTGCAGGCATGTATGTATACATCCAGTGCACACGTCACATCTCCTTATCTGAAATCCTGGACAGCCACTGCTTGTCAGTGTAGACGATTCTAAGATAGATGGACCAATGGTCTGTTCAGTATACGGCAGGTTCCTATGTTCCTTATCCTTATTCTACAGCATGTGTGGAATAGACCTCAAACAAACTGTGTGAGCTAAAGGGAACCTCTATTTGTGCCCCTAAACACCAGTTTTTAGGGAACTGCAGTGAGGATAGAGTAGACTATAGTGGTACCTCGGGTTACAGACGCTTCAGGTTACAGACTCCGTTAACCCAGAAATAGTACCTCGGGTTAAGAACTTAGCTTCAGGATGAGAACAGAAATTGTGCTCCGGCAGTGTGGTAGCAGTGGGAAGCCCCATTAGCTAAAGTGGTACTTCAGATTAAGAACAGTTTCAGGTTAAGAACGGACCTCCAGAACAAATTAAGTTCTTAACCCGAGGTACCACTATATTGCCTTCATGCTTTACTTGTAGGCTTGTGATTGGCCACTGGCTGAAACAGGATGTCAGACTTGTGCACACAATACAGCTTTTAAGCCCATTCGAAGCACATTTCACTCCTCAAAGAATTCTGGCCACTGTAGTCTGTAACTCTGTGAGGTGTAAACTACAGAGTCCAGAATTCTTTGGGTGAGGTGGAAATGTGCTTCAAATGCGGTTTAATGTGATCCAGCAACTTTCATCGTGTTTTTAAATATATTAAATTTAAGAGCGCATTGCCACCTTCAGTTTGGTGCTGATATTGCAATTTGGGCTATGTTATCCAAAGTGCCTAGGCAGGTTTTCCCCAACAATGCCATTTTAAAACTGAGATTCCCAAAAATATGTGATCGTCTGCAAAATATACAGCTTTCTACCCTTATTTGCCAAGCATAATTGCCTCTACTTCCAGTGTTCAGACACTGAGTGTTGCTGCTTATGCAGTGAAAGCCACAAGAGAGAGGTGTCAGCTGGCTTGAGGGAGCCCTGAGGCTTGCGAAAATACTCAAAATACCCAGTGAATCTCCTTTTAGGAACCGCAAAAACAACCCAGTGAAGACTGAATATGCTGAACGGGCAGGGAATGCTGATTGTGTGCATATGTAATGTAAAATCAGGTAGAAACAGAAGTTAGTGGCTAAGATCTAATCAAACCGCAGCGCGCGCACACAACCCTGCAAGTTTCCTCCAGGCGGGCACAGGCAAAGATTGCGCCACCCAGGGGAGCTCTCCGCAGACACACAACTTCTGGCCCGGGCATGTAGCTGGGGAACTCCCCGTCGCTTTAGGATGACGTCAGGCGCCGGCGCCGCACGTGGTGTAGTAGGCAAGGGAAGAGCCTGGAAGCCGGACGAGTTTGCAAGGCGTTGGCTGTGCGTGCAAAGAAGGTAAAGCCCTGGGAAGGGGGGGCAGGGAGGGAGGCGTGGGCTCGGACTTCAGGGTGTACTCGCGATTTACTCTCGTGTAAGCGAGATATATAAGCGGCGGAGAGTGCAACTGCGGAACTTCGCCCCCCGCAGGAGGCAGTGATGGCCACCAAGTTTTGTTGGGCAAATTTATGGAGGGCGAGGCTGTTAATGGCTCCTTACCCACGATGTCTGGGCTCTCCCTTCAAGGTCGGAACCAGCAATGCGCCTAAATGCCAATGGCTGGGAACCGGAGGAGGGGAGAGGGGCTCTTGCGCTCACCGGGTCCCGCTCAGGGCCGGATTTAGGTTTGATGTGGCGCTGAGGGTTAAACCACAGAGCCTAGGACTTGCCGATCAGAAGGTCGGCGGTTTGAATCCCCGCAACGGGGTGAGCTCCCGTTGCTCGGTCCCTGCTCCTGCCAACCTATCAGTTCGACAGCACGTCAAAGTGCAAGTAGATAAATAGGTACCGCTCCAGCGGGAAGGTAAACGGCGTTTCTGTGCACTGCTCTGGTTCGCCAGACGCGGCTTAGTCATGCTGGCCACATGACCCGGAAGCTGTACGCCGGCTCCCTCGGCCAATAAAGCGAGATGAGCGCCGCAACCCCAGAGTCAGCCACAACTGGACCTAATGGTCAGGGGTCCCTTTACCTTTAAGCTTCTCAAGGTAATGGGGCCCTTTATATGTCCAGCTGTCCTTTGCCAACAACAAATTGTCGCTGTCTTTTGTGTTGAATATATGCTATGTGGTAATTTATGGACCACCTAATAGGTATCTAAAGCCATTTGCACACAACAGAATATGTATTTTATCAAAGTAATTGTTGAACTGAAATACAATTAAGAGGAAGTACATTAATAGTGAATTGGGGGGGGGGCAAGAGAGGGGGGCCCTAAGCAATAGCTTGTTTAGTTTATACGGAAATCCGGCACTGGTCCTGCTTGAGGTTTCCCTGAGGACCTCTGCGTGGCCTATAGGAGAACAGTCTGCTGGACTGGATGCGCCTTTGGCCCAACCCATCAGACTCTCCTTGTCAATGTAATGTTGTAGTGTATCCTCAGGGCCTAAGAGGAGCGCTCCTGTTTATAGCTGCAACCAGCCCGGAACTCTTACTGGGGAGATTTTCTTCTTCTCCCATATGCAGCCCTACTTCCCTTGGTGTGTTGTAGTTTCTCAGATGTTGGACTGCCGTTCCCAAGATCTCTGACCATTGGGCATGCTGGCTGGGGCTGATGGGAATTGTAGGTTAGGGACTCAAGGTTGGCAAAGGCTGTGCTAGAGGACTGCCAACGCAACTGGACATTTTATGGCTGTGCGTGGGAAAGGGCACACAGTTCTGGAGAGGATATAACTCCTTTTTCTGCTAGTGCCCCTTTATAGAAAGGATGGGTGCGAGCCTGGTTCTCCAGATGTTGTTAGGCTACAGTTCAGATGATGGTCGCAAGATCTGGGTTGGTTCATATGGGGAGAGGTGGTCTGTTGCTCTGCTATGAAGCTGTACTGGCTGATTCAGATTACTGGTTGCCCTTTAAACTTGTTGCTTACAATCTTAATACACTTGACTTAAGTGTGCACTTGAATTCTGGGCTGAATTGTGGCTATTATGTGTCGTTTCTTAGCACTTGAATAGCCAGGAACCTGGGTTTATAGCTTCATTTTATGCAAGTCTCAGTTGCTTTAATTAGTGTGTAAAACTGCAGCCTTATTTGCATGAAAGATTCAAGGAGCTTTTAAGTGTTATTGCTTACTACAGCAGCCAAAACACATTATTTAAACTCTTGAAAACAATATTTTAGGCAATGGGCAAGAACAAGGGAAAAAGTCAGAAGCCGATGAATGTATTCCATGTGGCCAACAAGAAAATTGCGAAGGTTAAAAGGAAAGCAAAGCCAGTGACAACAAATCTAAAAAAGGTTAGTTTTAGAAGATTCCTTCTTGCTATTGTTTTAGATTCTTCATTAGGAACATCTTAACAACCTGTGCTGTGCATGATAAATGGAAACAACCCTAGTTTATGGCATATGCCATTCTTTCTCAACCATGGGTCCTCAGGTGTTGAACTACAACTCCCATCATCCCCTCCTCACTAGGGATGATGGGAGTTGTAGTCCAACAACACCTGGAGACCCAAAGTTGAGAAAGGATGGCATATGCAATTGCAGAGTGATGGAAGGTACAGGACATTCTACTAGCCCCATTCTTGACTTCAAATCCAAGGTGAATGAATGCAGGGGACGGGGAGGGGATTGTGCCTGCTGACCCAACATCTCCCTAACTTCAACTGAGGTTAGTGAGGCCAGAAAATATGACCCCGTTCTCCCTCCATATGCATGTAAAGGCAACAACAATACTCATAGAATTGTAGTGCTGGAAGGGCAATCTTGTCCAGCCCCCTGCAAGACAGGAATCTTTTACCCAACATGGGGCTCAAACCCACAACCCTGAGATTAAGAGTCTCATGCTGTACTGACTATGACTTTCTCTTGGCTGAATAGAGACACAGGTCACTTCTAGATTACCCATTTAATGAGCATTCACCCTGATTTATTTGCTGAGAGATTAGATGACATTGGCTGTTTAATGATTTGTTTGTGTAGAGATTAGATAAAGCTTTGATGCAAAGTAACCCCCATTTTCCAGTCACTCCTCATCACTTGAGATGTCTGATCTTTTGGGAACATGGGTTTGTTTTAACCAGAGCTCCAAATCAGCTTTAATTGTACAGCCTGAATCGGCTGGAATGGGATTGAATTGCCCCAAGAACAGCAACAGTCTGGAAATGCCTGTAGTAATTTTCTCATGTTTAAAATCTATAAGTCTGATTCTTGGAAGTGAGTGATGCAAATCTATTTCTGCATATTTTTGAAAGACTTCACCCTGCCTCAGCCTAATGAACAAGCTGAGCCGTTATGTAAGAATGGTTCCCTTGGTGAACTTTTGAAATCTTAGTATAGTTTAGTTAGTGTCATGTATATCCTCCAAAGTTATTTTAAAACACAACACATTGAGTTTCTATAGCTTACTGCACAGAAAATGCTTTTAGGTTGATTTTGAAATACAAAAGCCTAAAATTTGTTTTCTTTCCCCCCAAAGATTAATATTGTGAATGATGAAAAGGTTAACATGGTGAATAAGGTATTTACAGAAGTACAGAAAGAAGTTAAGCAATTGTCCAAAGCCATTTCATCGGACTCTCCAAAGAGCTTTCAGGTAATTCCTTTGCCTTATACAAAAATAAAGTAAAGCTTCTTATCACAATATACTGGAGTTATAAGAGGAATGTAAACCCATTGTGTTACTTGGAACTTTGTGATATTAATTTATTGCATTTGATTTTGGCATGGAAATCTGTTCCTATATGTTTGGCTCTAGATATCCCCTTTTACTCTTTCATTTGGCATCTGTTATGCTGCAATTTAGGCTTCAGTTTTCAATGAGTTGGTGGTTATAAGCGTTTTCTTAAATTATACATGGACACTGGACCCAAATCACTGAGCATGTGTGTTTCCCTCATCAGATTCCAAAAGCTATGGAAGGTGAGCCAGCCAATGTGGATACTGCTACTGACTTGCTGTCCCAATTGTAGCACCAAATAGTACGTATTACATCAATATTGCACCCCCTGATAAATCGGCAAAAAGCAACTCTTTGTATAGTTTTATTTTAAAAATCTTGTTAATGTACAAGCATTGACACTCTTTTAATACAAACTACAAATAGTGCTTTCCTAAATCTAGGAATGTGGAATGTCAGAAGTAAAAAACAGGGAACAAAATAAAGTGCTAATTAAAAAGGCACTCCACAAAAGTGTTCACTGAAACAATGTAGCATAAACTAGTTAATGCCCTTCATTCTACAATTGGCAGTGGAAGTTTTAAGACATAAAAGGTCACAATTTTGGAATGTTTGTAGAGGATTTCCAGGTGTATAAAACGCAGCAGTCTGGAGTTGTACAGGAAGCAGAGTTGGGCTTATGAAACTTTGGTTCCTAAAGAACAAATTAAAAGGAACTCGGGCTTTCAAGTAACTGTATTAAGCTAGTGTAACATCTCTAGGAACACCATTCCCTGCACTGCAGCAAAAGGAAGCTTCTGTTTTACTGAGTTTATACGTTGGTCAAAATAATGAAGTACAAGGAAGAATGTACACCCAGCGTTGGTGAACTACAGAAGTTTTACATTCATTATTTTAAATACTTGTGTTATGAAATTAAGTCTACAATATTATATCGTTAGAGGTAGATGAGGCAATCTGGCTGCATCAAATCTAGTAGTTCAGTATCTGCACATCAAAGAGGTCACAGACTCCTTCGTTATCATCCAGGTTGAAGTTGTAGTCATCTCCAGGAGTGGGAGACAGCCGTAAGAGGGGGAAGACTGCAGAGGGGAAAAGAAATATCAATTTAAGCACAGTTTGTGTCACACAGCTACAGTACCAGTCCTTGGCAAATGAACACATAACTATGCTGATTCCTAGTTCTGAATTAGCATTATTATTCTCCCGGCCTCCAAAACCATTATCATTGCTGCCACATTCATCCAACATCCTGGAAGGCTGCTGAGGCATAAGACTCTGCTGAGAATGAGGTTGGCAAAGATCCTGCTCCAGTACTGATCTCCACATACGACAAATAGAAATTCATGCTAGTTTTGACTACTGGGTAGAAAGGCAAAGAACTGGTAGAAGGGATACCCATTTTGTTACTTAAAGCATACAGTGCAAAATGTGAGTGTCTTTATGTTAATTTTTTACTATGTATTTCTTTAAGTCTGTTTAGCGACTCAAATCTTGATGGGTCAGCACAGCAAAAGTGCATACTGTGCAATGGAATTTATTACCCTCTGGCGAAGTCCACTTAGCATGGTCATGTAGAACAACTGTGTACATTATCTTGTGGAATTTTACGAACAAGTGAAATCAAGTAAAGAATGACACAGAGGTAGTTCCTTGTCCACAAGCAACCTGTATAAGGAACTCAGGTTTGCACACCCCTGGACTGCAAGATAAGCTTTGGACCACCACGCAATATACTGCCAGTACCACAAGACCCTTTTTTACAGGATGCCCCACAAATCATTTCAAAACCAAAGCACCATTTTTACATGATGCACTATGGTAGCTTAATTACATTCAAGTCAAATTATAGGAATAAGGAACTAGCAGTGTTGTGCTATGAAATGAGCTTTAAACACATATAATGCAAAAATGTAGATTGGATGATGTTATGTGTTCATTTGCAATACATTTACTGTACTGAAAATGTAGAAGTGTTAAATTGTATTTTCCCCACCCCCTCAGGTGTGAAGCGGAAGGGACAGCTCACAACCAACTTATACAATTTGGAAAAAGCAGCCAGAACGCCTCTGATGGAATCAAAAAGACATGAGATGCGATGGTCTTCAGGCAACAGCAGAGATGTTGCACTAGTTATTTAAGATGAAGACTCCCATCCATATGGTGCACATATAGAAGGGGGCCAGTCAATTTTCTGAACAGGTGGGCTAAAATTGTGGGCCTCTGAAACAGCAAATGCACTGAAGTGAAACAACCATTTTTAAATAAGCATATCAACCACAATTACAAAATTAAAATTTCTTTGTTAGCTTGTTAATGGAACGCAACAAGGTTACAAAAAAAAGCAGTTGTTGAATTTGCTTGCTTCATTCAGAAAACTCCTTCAATCAAGATCCCGTGGAAGCAGGGTGGCATAATAGCAGGGCTATGAAGAATAGTTGGACGGCTGAGAACATTTATTTTTTATTTACAGCTGAAGTGCAAAACCATTTCCACCGAAATGCTAAAGATCAGAAACATCTTGGTTTGAGAAAACGTAATCAAAAATGAAGCTTAATTATTATAGGGGATAGTGGGACAACCTAAAGCTGATTTGGTGGTGGAAAGCCCCACATCCTCCTAATTCATGGGCAAATTCAAAAGGGAAAAACACTATATATGGCATTTGAGAAATTGGTTGGGAAAGCTTTGGACCAGGCATGCTGCTGGTACAGACTCCTTGTACACAATTTGGCAGAGCAAACATTTATTTTGCAATGCAGCTCATGCACCACTGGCAATTATTAGTGTTGGAACATGACGCTTTTTGGATGTGCAAAAAGAAAACTCAGGCAGAGTCTGCTCAGCTTTCATAAGGGACATTCTCCTGGTGAGTTTAGTTTGAGATTCATGTTCAACAATCTTCCTGTATTGGTACAGGGGCATCATGGGTCGAATCTTGACTAAGATTGTTAAATTTTAGCCTCACTAATTCCAATAGGCCCCAAATTCAACCAGTGTGCTAGTCAGGATTCAATCCCATGTGTGAAGTGCGAAACAAAAGGAAACTTTGGAAAGGAGGAAACTACTAGCAAGAGGAGTAGTAAAACTGGAGGAGTGAAAGTCTATTTCAAATGTACATGTTTGTAGACTGCCCATGCAACAATTTAGGATGATCCAACTTCATCCTTGCAGAACAGATGACACTCTTAGAGTGTTGGGAAACCAGACTTATGGGGTGATTGTTAGAAAGTCATAATTTATCTCAGGCTAAAGTGAGAAACTCAAGCATACCATCCTGACCTTTGAAGGCTGGTGGGTAAGCTGCTGAATAATTCTGCAAACAGCATGTTGCAGTAATTCACAGGTAACAATTTGCAAGTGGGAAAGGCTGTCAGCTATAGGTTCCCGCGCCATTATTATGAAAACACACTCAATTAGGTTAGTACAATGGGTGATCTGCTCATTCAGAGTCTGTAATAAAAGGATGCTGTTTCAGTTAACCCTGGTGAATCCTGGGAGTCTGGAATTGGTATTTAAATCTGGAGGCAATGGGTGGTTGCCTGGTGTTTTCAGTGAGCTAAGCTCCCAGCTGTTTGCTGCTCTGATTTACTCAATGTAAATCTTAGTGCTTCTGAGTAGTGCCATTCAACTTGCTATATTACTCATCCAACAAATTATTCTAGAATGTGTCATGTGAACAACACAATCTGAAAGCTACACTCTGATGCAAACTTTTCAGACAGTAAACCCCACTGAAATCAGCAGGACTTACTTCTGAGTAAACACACAGAGGATTGTGTTGATGATTCTACATATTTAAGAAAGTGGGAACTACAGTATAAAATATACTTTGGACCCTAAAGAGGGCTGTGGTTAAAATTGTGGGCAGAAATAATTTTAAAAGCAAACTGCAGTCTTCTACCCTTTCCTTATTTTGTTAAACGTTTTGCATAGGCAAATGGAAATAAAAATGATAATTTGTGTGACTTTGTTCACATATTTCTTGCATTCCTAAGGAGTGTCCCAGCAGTGTCACCCCAGCATTGTTTATAATGAAAGATTGGAGGAGGGCATACGTACTAAAGTTAGGGAAACTCACTGCTTTGTTAACTGCAGGCAGCAGAATGCCCACATGCTCTAAACTCGAACAGGGTAAAAGAATCATGATATCTAACTGCTTCAAGTACATGTTCACCTAAAACTCTAGCAAAGGGATGTTGAGCTGGCATTTGCAGGGAACTGTTAACTAGTGAATCAGAGACATCACACTTTGTAAAGAAGGATGAGACAATGAGAACATAAACTTACCATCAGAGGACATCAATTCATCAATGATATCGCTGTTAATTATCCCTATGAACACAAAAAGCAAATTCATGGCTATCCACATAGACAATAAGATCAAATTGGCTAAAAAACAGGAGGGAGTTATGAGGCTTTCATATTTCCAGTTGGCATGTGCAGTTAGTCAAGTAAACGTGTTAGCTAGCTACAGGTATTTAAGGCTCCTGAAATTTTCCATGGGCTTTTAATATTACATGTAGTCTACTCTCTTTGGTATCTCTAGTGAAATGGAAATATAGAGTGGCTTAACACCCAGCAGGATTCTCAAGTGGATTCAGAAAATTACAAAACAAAATGCCAGGTCAGTTATGAATAGTATTTTGTAAACTAGCATGCACCACCCCTGTTTAGCCTGCCCTGAAGGAGTAGCTAGGAGCGAATCAAGTACTCCTTTATAGTATTTTCATAATAAAACATGCTTAGTTTTTATGTGCAGTTCTGTTCAAAATGCTTTACATTAGCAGTAATCCTTGCCGTCATCCTCTTAATCAGCCTTCCCCAACCTGGTGCCCTCCATATATTCTGGATTACAACTCTTATAATCCCTAACCATTTCCACCAAAACCATTTGCCCATGAACATCTGCTTCAGCACCTCACAAAACAACTACAAAAGCAAAGATGCTCTCCTCGACATTTAGCCAATGTTAAGACCGTAAAAAAATAAAAATCCCACAGCTCAACATTGTCATCAAATAGCACTGGGCTGCTTTCTTTTCCTGTTTTACGCTTCAGGACACCAGCAACTGTCCTCCCCCCCCCCCCCAAAGTTATAATCAAACGAAGTATGTAATTTACCTCCAGGCTCATCCATCTTTGCGATGTCAAACGCATTCGGCTTCAGAATACTATTTACGTCCAGCGGAAGGAAGGACTGGCAGGTATTTGAGCTAGGTGTTGTTTCTGCTATAAGGCTGTTATACAGCTCAGAATCTGGAATGCCAGCATAAAGAGTTTCAGGAGTCTGGCTCTCCTGCAAACTGATGTCTACAGGGTGGGAAAGTTCACAGTAGAAATCGACAATATTAGTTCAACGCAAATTTCTGGAACACAACATTTCTGATACAGGCACAAATTATTTGTTACCACAAGCTCACATTTTAATATTGGCATGCACTTGATTTTAGCGATGCTAATGTGAATAGCAAAAATATGTCTAACTAATTCTTAATACATGGGTTTTGCTGCTAGATTTTAGAACAGTCACATGTAAGCATTGTCTTCCACCCACAAATCCTTAGCTCAACCTGCCCCCCCCTTTTATCTTTTTTATTTGCTGCTAATTGAGAAAAGGGGAAATCCCTACCTGCTGACATATCTGTGACTGGTGGTATCCGTGAAAGGGATTGACCCTGATGAGGAGTATCTCTAGACTCCAACTTTTGAGGATCTACATTCACTTTAGGGGAAATCAATGGAGCTGGCAACTGAGATGGAGGTTGCATGAGGTCATCTGGAGGAGGTACCGGAAAAACCACTGGCTTTGAGGAACTGGACTCTTTGTTTATAAGCAGCACATGGATAGGCCCCGAATGACTCTTCAGATTGATCTGATACTTGTTTTGTCTCTTTAGAAAGGAAGCAAAGTTAACAGGTAAAGTCAGCATTCTTTATGGCAGTAGGCTTAGCAATTAAGCCAAACTGGACTGAAGTAAAAAAAAATAATGCAGGTGAAAGCTGTGTACTGAACAGGTGAGAATGTGCTAGTTGAGAAGTTGAATTCATAAAGAACGATGATACAAGTACAATCTACACCATAACCCAACATATCTTCACATGGTCAAGCTGTTTGGAAGCTAATTGCACACTGAACACGCATCCTGTCTCAGAACTGCATCAAAATTTCAGTAAATGTTTCGCTGCCTGTAGTGATAATGCTTTTGCTTTATACTAGTGAAGCGAAACCCCTGGCCCCCGAGCCTAACCAGGCCTGCCAGAGCTTCCCATTTGGCGCATGAAGTCATTTGAGCCAAGCTGCAACCACCTATCCTTCTCCTGGTGTCATATGACATCAGGTGAGGGACAGGCAAAGTGATGGCTTCAAATAGTGCCAAATTCAAACCATTCAGAAGGTAATGTTCTGGGTTCATTGGAACTTTAGATGGTAAAGGTAAAGGGACCCCTGACAGTTAAGTCCAGTTGTGACTGACTCTGGGGTTGCAGCGCTCATCTCGTTTTACTGGCCGAGGGAGCCAGCGTACAGCTGGTCATGTGGCCAGCATGACTAAGCCGCTTCTGGCGAACCAGAGCAGCGCACGGAAACGCCGTTTACCTTCCCACTGGAGCGGTTCCTATTTATCTACTTGCACTTCGACGTGCTTTTGAATTGCTAGGTTGGCAGGAGCAGGGACCGAGCAACGGGAGCTCACCCCACCGCGGGGATTTGAACTGCCGACCTTCTGATCGGCAAGTCCTAGGCTCTGTGGTTTAACCCACAGCACCACCCGCGTCCCTGGGTTCTGGGTTCATTGGAAATTTAGATGGTACCACTCACTAATTCTCTCTTGGATCAGGATGTGAACAATCATTTGGAATAGCGGTCAATTTCCTCCTTCCAACTGTGACAAAAAGCTATTTGTATGGCTTTTGCTAGCAGCAAAGGAAACTTGAAACTGAAAATGTGGAGCAAGTATTTCCTCCTGGAAATTCTAAAAAAAAACCCCAAACCTCTATTGTGTAAATATGTTTCACTCAGGCTCAGCATAAATAAATATCAGTAATAGTTGAAGTGATGAATGCTGCACGTTTCAAAGAAACATAAAAAGTTAACAGAACACAAACTAGGTATACTTTTCTATGTTATTAATTTAGCAAATTTATTCTGTAAGCACAAGCCCCAGTTAGAACATATACACTACTTGGGTCCAAAACCTTTATTTATTTTTATTTATTTATATATATATATATATATATATATATATATATATATATATATATATATATATATTATTATTATTATTATTATTATTTGCTAACCACACAGATTAAAAGAGTTGTTTATACATACCACATGAGGTACAGGTACTTCTAACTGTGTGCCAGAAGGAGCCTGAATTGCTAGTAGTGTATCCCCTGATTGTGGAGTAATTGTCAAGTGTTAGCTGAATGCATGCACACACATTCCCTTCCAGGGAGGTTTTGTTTTGTTTTGCTTTGTACTGCCTGAAGGACATGGCCAATGGGTCATGAAAACATGTCAGAACAAATATACAAAATAAAATTCGGCATACTTGCAAAGGTTTACATGATTAAATAAGATATGCCATATTTCAGTGTGGAAAAAAACAGTACAGGATGGCTACACTGTGTAAAGAGAAATCATGTTTTTAATGAAAGAAAGTCTTACACAAAAAAATCTGGTGCTGCCTTTGCTTTAGCACATTTACTCTGAAATCAAGGGCCACTGTATTCACACAGGGCTTTCTTGTGTTTTAGGTTTGTAGCTGAAGTCCAGGTCTACATAAAGCAGGGGCAGAGAATATGCAGCTCTCCAGATGTTGTGAGGCTGCAACTCTCATAAACCACAGCCAGCATGGGCAGTAATTAGGGATGATGCTACTGGCCTATAAACTCACATCTGGAGAGCCACAGGTTCCTCACCCCTAGCAGAAAGTGAAAGAACTGGCCTGCTAAGGAGTTTTGAGGATTTCTTTTGGAATAAAGGTATATCCCGTCTCTGAAAATCATTCTGAAAAACAGAAAGCACTATTTTAAACGAATGCTATCTGATGAACTTTTAGCACTAACTGATAAGGTGAACACAACTGGGTTTTCTCCTGACACCATTTAACAAACATGTCAAACTTCTCAGCAACTTACCGTTGAAGCAGTCACATATGTCTTCATGAGTGATGTATGAAAAAGTGGTCTGTGTCAAGGAAAGTTTCAAAATAACATGATACTGCTGACCTTTTTCAAGTACGTTTTAGGAAATTTACCAGGCTAGTTAGGTAGTTCTGTTTCAATATTTTGCCTGTCATACCCTGGACTAGTAACTGAAATTGCAGAGTTAAAAACACATTCATTTTAATTATTAAACAAAATTTATATACCATTTGATTGTAAGAAAGCTGTTTAGCAAAAAACAGCCTCTGCCTATTTTATATCTCGGGTATTAAAAAGTCCCATTAGCCTGAATCCAAAGGTGCTGTTGCATGAATGGAAAAAAAAATCTGTTCAGACAAGTCACCCAATTCACTGCTGCCCAAAAAAGGACTCTGAGGATGAGGGACGATCTGGACCAAGATGCAATATGGTACAGAGGGCTGCAGCAGTGGGGGAGTAAATGAAAAAGGAAGCACTGCCTTGTATGAGAATGCTTTCCATTCTTGAAACAGCACCTGTGAACACGAGACTTCTGTGTAAACATTGAATGGGATCCAACTGGTAGCTAATGCTAAGCTACCAATATAATTTTGTCCTTAGTTGGCCATGTATGCCATTTTGCCTCCTGATGGGCATTTCACATCCCTTATTATTCCACTAAGGGTCTATGTTCCCACAACTCATTTTGAATAGCCAGACACAAAATTAGTATCAACTGTTGTCAAACCCCTCAAAACTCCCATTTGAGAAAATGCCCACCACTTATTCCATCTCCATTTTCTGTGTTTCACCGAGGCACAGCAGCAATAATTCCATTTGCAAGAATTACACAGCATGTTTCAAAGGATATCATTTATTTGTGGAATCTTCTTTGACATTTTTTATGCTTTGCTGTAACCACAGTTTCTGCTGATCCAGCTCCTTTTCTTTTAGCTCCAATTCTTCAATTTCTGCTTCAAGGTACCTCAGTCTGTCTACGACTTCCTTCGTATTGCAACCAGCACCTACACCTCTTAAGAGAGAGCAAAAAAATTCAATGCTACTGTAAATGAGTAACAAAAAGGCAAAAGTAGAAAAGATATCATAGCAGCAAAAATTTTAATTCTATAAACAGTGTAATATCAAGTAAGTTTCAATTGCCCTTTGATTCTGTATGATGTGAGTAGGGGGACTTTCAAAGGTTGCGCACAAGAGAGACAATCCATCTCTTTTTTGGGTTTTCATGTGTGGTTTTCTGCTGAACTGTGGAGCCTCTGTTGCCTGACCACCAACAAAAGGGTTTGCATCTGTGGCAGGCAAAATATACTTCCAGGTCCTGACAAACAACTGCCTGGAGACTAGTGTCTGCAGAGAATACAAAAGCTGGTATTGCTGACATATATTGCTTTCATTACATATATACCTTGTTTTCGTTACATAAATACCTAACAATGATAACATTCATCTGTGAAGGAAAACAGCATTCTGTATTTCTATGCAAGAAAATTAAAAATCAGTTATCTTACTTCCACTGGATGCTGTTTTTTGACTTTTTTTCTATGAGATCTATCCCTTCCAAAACATTGGTGATGTCGTAGATCCGCCTTTTTTGTCTTACAGCAAGTG